GTAGAGAAAAATTAATTGTTGTGGTGCAACTAACATGACTGATCAGAATTTTGATTATTGAATTGTAACGATACACAATTATCATTACATTTACGCGAAATGAAATACGTGGCGCCATCTGTGCGCGAACCCAAACTACCGTGGTATCGACTACCAAACTCACGTACCTACCTACGCAATACGCATATCAATAAACTTTTAATAAACACCTATTACAAGTTCAAAGAAGTTCGTATATCAATCCAAAACATTGTTAAATACATATAAAACACACCGCGATGTCGTTACATCTAAACCACGCTGAAAAACACGTAGTTTGTAAGTCAGAAGAGTACCGCCACGACGCCGTACAGAGAGGGCGTCGGCGACAAGGCTTTTCGACCGGCATTAGATTATGTGACTTTGTCGAAAGCTGCGGACAAAGTTCGTATAATCTATACCAGAATTGGACTTATTACACGTTCCAGAAACGAATAGTAATAGCCGCTAAAGGTTAATAGACCCTGCAACACCTTATAAATTGCAATAAACATACACAAGAAAGACACAAAACCAAACAGTATCCAATACTCAAGAACTACAGATACACTGGTCGAGACGTACGTTCAAATCAATGTAACACTTACACAGTTCGATCCGTTTATTCTCAGTTGATAACTTAAAATCGTATTGCGCATTTCCTCCCGCACAAGCCCTCTCCCGATACTCGCAGTGTGAGTGGTAGTACGCCTAAAAACGTACTGTGCAAGCCACCGACGCCCAACAGCAGCGGCTCGTTGTTTGTGTGTTACCGTTGCCGCCGAAACCACGCGCCGTCGCCGTAAACACCATCGTCTGCCTACCAGTTCCGTAACTGTAGTTGCCGCCGTCACAGGAAGCGCCACCTGCACAACGCCACTCGACCAACGCTGTGCCGCCGCCGTAGGACGAGCTGTTATGGCAGCCACCACGCCGCCGCCGCAACCAGTCCAGTCACGTTGCCACGGGAAACTGATCACCACAGGAGGAAGTACGGTGTGCATCGAGGATGAGTCTACGCCCGATAGCCACACTCCGTTTATATACGCCCACCAAACACCACCAACAGAGTCGGCTGTTTTGGTCTGGAGTATTCCACTGTCCGATCCATCAACCCTAAGGCACCCACGTGAGTCGTATATTTGTAGCTCAACTAGCAATTTGTAAACTAAAAGAAAAAAAACTGTAAAACATACATAAACTAATTTCATTTTGTTTACGTAAGAATAAAGAACCATCATTCAAACACGAAACAACCTTGAATTTTGCATTCTTACAGAATGAACTATGTTTTTATAATGCAATAAACAAATTGTTAATACTTAGGTAATTATAACAAATTATTTCTGAATTTAAAAGAATTTTTTTTTTTTGTATTTGAAGATTATTTCAAATACTTCTGAAAAGTACTTTGAGTATTACTCAAATACTTTACTATTTATAGTATTTTGGTGGTATTTTAAATATTTTATTTTAAGAGTATTTGAGTAATTACTTAAATACTTTTTAAAAGTATTTTTCAACACTGCAAATAGCCTATTATATAAACACTATGCAGAGATGAAAATATGCACGGTGCTCAGCACTTTAAGTGGTTCTATAATAATTAATAGCTGAAGTCTTCCTGAACCAAAAATGTAAAGTAATCGGCTATAGTGATCCAAGTCCCACTTGAAACCTACAAGTGTACAGTTGAATGACAGTAATGACACCCAATTATCCGCTTTTTTAACTACGAATCAACTATTATTATCTGAAATTTTTTATAAACATTTAAAGTTGGAATTTTGACAAAATTTAAAAAATAAAATTATTTTGCAGTCTAAAATTTATAATTTCTTTAATTTTTAAAGCTAAGGATTGAACATTTAAAACATAGTATCACGTAAATGGGTTATATATAAATTTCTTAATTTACAATAATGAATAAGATCATAAAATATACCTGGTAATATCATAGGCTGACCGTCTTCACCACAGGCGCAATTTGGTATAAATTTTTGTGGGTGCTAGATTTATGTCAATTAAAGTTATCCGTGGTCGCACACCCCCTCCATTCATACACCTTAATTTCACATACTTTTACAACTTTTTTACCAAAAAGAGATTCGGTACCTATTTTTCATAGTTTCAAAGTAACATCTTTAATGATTTAACTACTTTACTAGTTATTTTGCAGTTTATAGATTAACATATAAAATATATACAAAATTTATCTAGATAAAAAAAAAGATAACAATTTCAATTTTATTTTTTAATAACTGCACTTGTTATTTTAACTACAATTTATTATTAATTAACATTTAGAATCTACAGTTGTACAAAGGTTAACACCGTGTAGATATATACGGTATAAGGCTTGCTATATTATGTCTATAGGTACAGTAGTATATAATAATATAATATGGGTACTATTAATATATTATACAATAAACAATTTCGGGAAATCAATAAAGCCATATTAATTTATTTATTTTTAGTATTAAGAACTGAACGGATAATATTAATAGTTGATGTGAGTAAATAAAAATAATATCATTGTTGTGAAGTTGTGTCCGAATGTGGGTATGTGTATTACTGTATTGTCTGCACAAGTCACAACCTATTACGACGGTTTGTATGTATTATTTGCCGTATCGGGCCGTATAGAATTATTAGAAATTACGTAAATGAGCAATTACGGAAGTAGCTTTGTGTTGTTTTTATGCTTTTGACCCCATATAATTCTTAGTTAATTTAACTAAATTAGTTTTTGCATCCATCCCAATTTTTTAGAAGAATGGATAGACGAGGTAGGTAACATTATAATACTATATATATAATCAGTCTGACAAACATTTATCAAAATAATTTTAACACTCATCATTCAAAAAGTGTTAATGATTTTGAAAATAGTTTTTTACATGGTTGCAAGTCATTTCAAAACAACATTTTTGTTAAATTTTTTTTAATATTTACAGTTAATATTCTTTAAATTTCATCTTCAGAATCAGGCTATTTTTCTGAGTATTTCAATACATAAAAATCGAATTTAGGATCTAAAAGTAATTTATGAGTTTTAATAATATTAAAGTTTAGTTGGGCAGAGTAGTGGACTAACGTTGTATGTGGTAACCGTATGCCACTCCACTCATCAAGACTTTAAATACTTATAAAGTCATAAACACAATTAATATTAATAATATTAAATAATAAATAGGAATATTTTTATGAACAATTTTTATTAAAATATTATTTCAATTTTTATTTTTATTCACCAGTAAGCAAGTGCAATATCTATAGTCTACAGTCATTTTATAAACTTTTCACAGGATCTAGACAAAATCAACAGAGATCACGGTCAAGATCACCTATTCATACAGGGATTCGTATTGAACTTGGGATTCATAATAGATCAAGCATTTATATGGATGATTTAAATTTCCGTTATTATACTACAATGTAACGGCAAATAAAAGGTTGAATAAATAAAATGTCTATAAAATACCTTTCATATAAAACGAACAGTACATTTCATCAAATTGATCCATACTTGATTTTTATTTTCAGGCAATTGAGGTGTGTTAACCATTACTCAATGCAATGTCGAGGAAGAGGTAGTATTAATTTAGATGACACAGATTTTAGGATGACAATGCCTCATACTTGTGTTCCACGGCCATCGATTAACAATGATGAAAACGATAATCGTACATCTCTGTTGATCACATTGAGGCAAAGAGCTACAAGAGAACAAACTAATCTTCGAACTATTTACAATTTAACTTTATTTTACATCTGTCATTGCCTTATTCTGATGGACCAGTGCAAGTAATTACAGATTTTGAAACTGGCCTTCGCAACGCTATTAGACAAGTATTTCCTCAATGGCAACAGGTTGGATGTTCTTTCCATTTTAATCAGGTACCTACAAAGATAAACAGAGGTATAGGTTCAAATTATTATTATTAAAATCAAAAAAATTGTGTACAGGCTGTGTTAAGACATGTGAGGCAAATTGGTATAGCTAATATGGTCAGAGATAATGTTATGGCTCGAAATATAGTGCGATTGGTAGTTAAAATTTTAATAAAAACATTGTTACCTATAATGAAACTAATCCTTATTGTATTTGTGATATTTTAGTTATTAGCACTACCACATCTTCCATCAAATAGAAATGTACTCCCAAATATTCAAGGGTTTATAAGTTATCGCAGCAAAATACAAAATTGAATCTAGAAATGTTACAAGGGTGGAAGTACGGGTCCAGGGAAAACTAACAAGGGGGGGGGAGAAACAAGGGGAAAATATAAATATGCAAACCAAAGGGAAATAGACGGGTCATTCGCAGTGTCCGGGTGTCTCGTTGCGCAGCTATCAGCCAACCGTGACCGCCGAACGCCACTGCCGCCTCCACGATGCACACACAGACAGGAACAATTTCTGAAAATATGAGCTGGATAACAAATATTCCGTGTGACCTGTATGCAATTTTATGCATTTAGATTGATGGTTAGAGATGGTTTTAATCCACTACATTACTACAGGGACTTATTTAGCCGATACGATGGCAAAAATTATTTTGGAACGATTAAATTACATATGCCGTAATCAACAGAGAATGAGGGCTGAAGAATATATTCACCTCAGAGACACTTTAAACCAAGACGCAAATGTTGACCCATCAAACATCGGTCAGCGCGTAATCTTGCTGTCTTCATTCACAGGTTCTCCGCGTTATCTACACAAAAAAACACAAGATGCGATGACTTATGTCCGCAACTACGGAAGACCAGACTTATTTGTTACTTTTACGTGTAACCCCGAATGACCTGAAATTAAAGCGGAACTATTAACTGGACAGCGGTCTTTCGATCGTCATGACAGAATTTCAAGGGTATTTCATTTAAAGATGAAAAAATTCATAAAATTATTCACAAAAGATGAAATATTCGGCAAAGTGAAATGTTACATGGTAAGTGTGGAGTGGCAGAAGCGGGGTTTACCTCACTGTCATTTGCTGTTTTGGCTAGAAAGAAAAATACAGCCAGACGAAATTGATAATTTCATAGTTGCAGAACTGCCCAACCAACAAAACGACCAGATATTGTACGATATCGTGACTAAAAATATGGTGCACAGTCCATGCGGAGAGCATAACTTAACAGCACCATGTATGAAAAACGGTATCTGCACCAAAAAAGTACCCTCGACGTTTCGTCAACGATACCCAAACCGGAGATAACGGATATGCAGTTTATCGTCGTCGTGAAGCCGAAAATGAAGACCAGAGCTACGTTAAATATCAGAGGAAGTACTTTCAATATTGATAATAGGTGGATTGTCCCTTATTCTCCATTATTGTGTATGACGTTTAACGCGCACATAAATATCGAGTACTGCCACTCAGTTCAAGACATCAAATACATTTGTAAATATATAAATAAAGGATCTGACCAAGCTACTTTTAGCGTCACAAACCCAAACGATGAGGTGGAAAACTATTTAATGGCTGGTACATAATTACATCCGAAGCTGTTTGGCAAATTTTAGAATTTTTTTTTTGTCAGCCATCGGAACCATTAAAATTATGGGACAATTTCAAAGACAATCTTTGTGAAGATATCAGACACAGAATCAGACAACAAAATCAAGACTTTGCCTTACCATATAGTGAGAACATTTATAACGAAGGTTTGATACAAATCGAAAATAAACTCTTGCAATTAAATGATAAAAGCTTAAGTCATTTTGGATTACCTTCCTCAGTTCGTACAGCGTACATATACAATGGCACATCACTATAATACAAATGATTTGACCTCTTTTGTCAATGAAAACCTGACAACATCAGTCCCAGATCTTGCTTCGTCAGGAGTTGCTGCAACACTTCTAAATGATGGAAAAACTGCTCATTCTACTTTTAAACTTCCGTTATCTGTAAATCTTGAGCAACAATCTATATGTTCTAACCGCAAAAATGGACCTCTTGGTAAATTACTACAAGACGCCTCATTGATTAAGTGGCTTAAAAGATATTAGAAACTCCTCTGCTCTCATGGGCAGGATTACTTTTTTATTTGCTGGAGATTTCCGACAGACACTTCCCGTCATTAACAGAAGGACGCGAGCAGATATCATCAAGATATGATTGAAATCGTCCCCTTTATGGACTTCAATTGAAAATTTAAAATTGCGAACAACTATGAAAGCACATATTCATGTAATCACAGATAGTGATTTTCCACAACAATTGCTAAAAATTGGGGATGGAATTTTTCCCAGTCCAAATTTAAGCGAAAATTGTGACATCCTTCTGGATGAGTTACTAGGCCAGATAGTCCATAATTTAGATAATTTAATAGATGCAGTTTACCCTGACATTAAGAAATTGCACGAAAAGGACTTTCATTGGTTGTGTTCGAGGGCAATAGTGTCACCCAGGAATGATACTGTCAACGAAATAAACAATATGATTTTACAAAAAGTTTCTGGCCAAATAAAAATCTACGGTTACGCCGTAGGCCTCGGGCGAAACTGATCGCTGGTTTGGAGGGGGGTGACCAACGCCTAACAGTGCTGGCGTCGTCCGTGAAGAAATCATGTGACGGCTGCGCCGCCACAAGTTATTCGAATAATCGACCAAATCATTCGAATAATTTTTATCATTCGAATAAATTTTATTATTCGAATATTTTTTCATTATTCGAGTATTTTTTATTCGAATATTTTTCATTATTCGATTACAAAAATTATTCGTGTATTTCTTATTCGAATAATTTGTATTTAAATAATTAAAGATATTCGAAAATAAATTAATAATTGTTAGTTGAATAAAAATTAATATTTATTCGAGTAAATAATATAATGTATAATATGAACTTCACTTAGTTGATGACAGTCTTGTAAAGTAATTGAGTAAAAGTATTTAAGTAAATGTATTTAAATACTGTTTTGGACGTATTTGTATTTGAAAATCAAATACTTTTATTTAAATACTTTATCGATTTTCAATAATAAATGATTATTTATTATCTTTTTTCTCAGAAATCAAAGTAATATCATGACTAAATAATAATATAGTCATGAGTAATATCATTGAAATTTAGTAAGTTTATTCCCGACATAGCCTCATAAAATGCAAAATATTATTGTTTTTTTTCATTGAAGCCTATATTAGTTTATTGTGATGTGAATTATTTGAAACTTCAAACTATTAACATAGAACAATAATGAAGCGAAATTCGATCAGCTGATTCGGTTTACGACTTTACGTTTACCTATGATCTATGAAGTCTGAACCTAAAACGAGCCCATAAATCAACATGATGTTAGATCCACGAACGACGTGCGAAAAGACGAAACTGTAGGAGAAATCGAAAAAAATCGGCAAAAAAGTCCGCCCGGGAGCGTATTTTGCGATCGACATTGCGACGGCTACGGACGGCGCACGGATATAATTACAGTGATGGGCACTATCGAGTGAAAACTATCGAAGTATTCGATAGTTTAAACTATCTAATTACTCGGTTGTTTTATAAAACTATCGAAACTATCGAACTATCGGAAAACTATCGAAACTATCGAACTATCGAAACTATTGAACTATCGGAAAACTATCGAACTATCGGAAAACAATCGAACTATCGAAAAACTATCGAACTATCGAAGAATCGATACTATCGCCTATCGAAGTTTTTTTATCATCTGATATCAGTGATAAACTGATATCATCAGACAAGTGAACGCTTATCAATTATATAAATTATCAAATACTGTTTAATGATTAATTTTATTTAATTAGTATTAATTAAAAAATTATTTAATTAAAAAGCAAAGGAAATAAATAGCAATGTCAATCCCTAAGAAAAACGCTTCTATTGTTTGGAAGCACTTTCGAAGGGACCCAAATACTCCTGATGAGGCCACTTGTTCGATTTGTAATAACAAGTACAAAAGATCTAACGGCACAACCAACTTATTAGACCATTTGAAACGTAAACATTTTACTGTATTATGCCGTGATGAGTTACAACACACTGAGACTGAACAGATTGAAGAAGATAGAAATCAACCTGGTATGTACTATGTGATAAATATTTAGATTTTACAATTTAGTATGTAGATGCTAGATACTATATGTTATAAATTCTAAGGGAATTAATAATTTATGCTAAGGTTTGTGAGTATTCAAAATAAATATTTCTTTTTTTTAAATAGGAACATCAGGGGAACGACAATCTACAGGTGTTTTCTCTCCTTGTAATAATCCAGTTATGGCAGTAACCAGTGTTGTTGAACCAGTATTAAAGAGGCAAAAACAACTTTTATTGTCTAATAGGTAAGAGTATTGTATTAATTTCTGAAAATTTTCAATACGTAGTACAATTTTCTTATTACCATGTTAACATGTATTTTCTTATTTTTTAAAGCTAACTAAATTTCTTTATATTTTTTTGTATATTAAATTTAAGTGTATATGCTGGCATTGATTTCTATTTAAATTTTAAAGCTTGTCTGTTCTATATTATGCTATATTGTACATGTTTATGCTTAACCTAGCCAATAAGTCTACAACGTCAGTAGTACATCAAACTAAGTAGTATTCACTTAAATGTTGCATGTATCACTATTTACTTGGATTTACACTAACTATTTTGTATAAATATTTAGGTTATTATAATTACTTTATCTATATATTGATTTGTATACTGTATTCTTAAATACAAAGAATTAATTATTTTAATTATTTACAAATCTCATATTTAATTTTTAGTTTACAGGTTTATTCATTATCCAACTGGTTTGGAATGCAATTATTTATTAAGAGGACTTCACAGTCAAAACACACAATTTTAAAACTGACTTTGTCTGCTATATAAGTAACATGTTGAAAAAACTTAAAATTCAATAGTTTGGCTTATCAGCAGCATAAGTGTGAAGTATTTCAAAATAAAAAGAAGTGACTTTATAAATACTTATCTTAGTATATTACAAAACCTTTTTCAATGGTTTAAATTTCAAGTTTATATGTGATAATAAGTATTATTGCAAATTATCATACAATATTTTTTGTAGTTGATTTAAATACAATGTTTAAATTATAAAAATAAGTAATGACATTGACTGTTATTATACACATATTATGTTATGTTGTTATATTATATTTTAAGTCTGGCATTTTATCTCAGTAGTCAGTATGTCTCATTTTTTTCTTTAAGATTTGGTACACCATCGGAAAATCAAGTTAGAGCGTTCCATGAAGCTATTGTGAAGATGATAGCTGAAGACCTTCAGCCTCTTTCGATTGTTGAAAATTCAGGATTTCGTAGTATGATACAGCTTTTGGACTCCAGGTGATTATTAAATAATAAATAAAAACTTTTAATATTTCAATTTTGGATATTGAGCAGAGTGATGAATGTATTTTTTTAACAAATCAAAATATTGTCTATCATAATATTAAATATTATACCATTTATTATCAATATTATATTACTCTAGGTATCAAACAAATATTGTTCCAGAACCTTGACTTAATGGTCTATATATTCAATTTTTTTTTTTTAAATTGTTTCAGTTAGAGTAAATAAAATTGCGGTAAATACTAAATATACAAATGTACTTATTACAGGTATGAAATTCCCAGTAGGAGATCCCTTGGAAGAACAATAATACCTAGAATATTTTCAACAGTCCAAAGTAAAGTTGAAGCTTTGTTAAATGAAGCAAGACATGTAGCTATCACAACCGACATTTGGACGTCAATAAATACAGATTCATATCTTACTATGACCGTTCACTTTCTAAGTCAAACCCAACTGAAAACTTTAGTGTTATGCACAAAAAAATTAGACTGTAATCATACTGGTGCAAATATTTGTGAAATTATGCGCGAAGAATTAAATAAGTGGAATATTTTTGAAAAAGTTGTCGCAGTGGTAACGGATGGTGGAGCAAATATTAAATCTGCAGTCAGGCATATGGGACTGTCACATTTACCGTGTACTGCGCATAAATTAAATTTAATAGTTCAAAAAGCATTAGAATTGTAAAATAATGAAGAGATTGGACCAGATGACAATACTGATGAAAGTGATCTAAAAAAAATATTTAAGAAGTGTCGTAACATAGTTGGTTTTTTTAAGCGAAGTGAAGTGGGTAACAGAATGTTAGTCGAAAAACAGAAGCAACTTGGAAACGAAACGGTCCTTAAATTAAAACAAGATGTACGTACTCGCTGGAACAGCACATTTCTCATGTTAGAACGGCTAATTAAACTTAAAGAACCACTCACCATAGTGATGATGACTTTAAAAGGAGCTCCAACTAATCTCAGCTCCGAAGAATGGAATATAATTGAGGATATGATACCATTACTAAGACCATTTGATAAGTTAACTGTTGAGCTCTCTGCAGAACATTATCCGATGATTTCAATGGTTATACCATTAATACGAGGTAATTAATTTCATGATTCTGTGTTTAACTTTTGTGTTTTCTATTCAATACTTCAAAATGTCATTCATTATTTATAGGTCTGCAAAGTTCATTAGCATCAAAAAATCCAAATACGCAACTTGGAATATTCATTAAGAATAGATTGATGGAAAATACTACCAAGCGTTTCGATAGCCTAGAAGAACAAACTTAAACACCACATTTTTCTAGGGCTACATTGTTGGATCCGAGGTGCAAAAAGGTTGTGTTTGGGTTGGAAGTAAATGCCAAAGAAGCAGAAACATGCTTAGTTTCTGAAACAGCTGCTTTAATTAGTAATGTTTCAAACACTGGTAAATAATAAATATTTGTACTTAAATTTATGAAATATCATTAAACATAATTACTAATTAGTGAACTAATTTACATTAGTATGATATAATTTAAAAATAAATCACTTATATATACACCAAATGTAATTCATCATTCTAAACATTTTACAAAAATATTATTTAGCTAAAATGTGATATGATTAAATCTTTCTGTAGAAAAACTGCAACCAAAGTTGTTGATAATTTTAAACATTCATATTTTACTTAATTTCAGAACAAACTACCCATACGTCTGAAGTAAATCTTGACACCGATGGCGACAATGTGTGGAATTTCCTCTATTCTAGAGTTTCAAATGTCCAGTCTCAGACAACGAGTAGAAGTAGTGCTACATCCTTAATGAGGCAATACTTAAGTATGCCTCATCAAGACTTGAAGTGCAATGTGGCTGAATTTTGGAATGACCACAAGACTGTGTTAGCTCCACTAAGTGATATAGCATTAAAATATATTATAATTCCAGCAACCTCAGTGCCAGCAGAGAGAATTTTTTCCAAAGCAGGGCAAATATTAAGCGCTCGGCGCAATAGGTTATTACCCAAAAATGTAGATCAATTAATTTTTTTAAACAAAAATATTATGTAAGTTTTTTTTATTGATACACAAGTAAGTAATAATATATTATGAAAAGGTATTTATCTATTTTATTATGAAAAAAAGTTATGTATAATTTATATTTTGTATTTGAAAACTAAAGTAAAGTTTGTTATAGTTAAAAAATTTTTATTTTTTTATTTTACAGATAATATTCAACTGGTTTGAAAGTCCAACACATTTTACCTCTGGAAGGTCATATAAGGGTATTTACTATTTACTAGGTTGTACAATTTGTATTCAAAAAAATCTCTGGAACAAGGTTTGATACTTAATTTGACACATACATTTGCAGTTTTAAGTTGATAATACATATATATATTGCTGTGGTGAGTATGAAATTTGGGGTGGATAATTGACAGCCTGCTCGTGGCCCACCCTGCATACAAGTTTTTTTTAACTTGAATCAATGTCAATTGTCATTATACATAGTACTACACGTATCAATTTTAATTATTGTAACATATCAGAATCCCTTAAAACTGATGATAAACTAATATGAAACTAAATAAAGTTAAATATTTCAAAAATAAAAATAATATTTTTTTTTTCTTTTCTTTTCTTTTGTTGAAGCTCAAAATATCCAACTGGTTTGGATAAAATGTGTGTACTGAATAAGTGAATAGTGTTTAGTTATATATCTATTATCTAGTGTCCCTCAAGTACAAATCATATACGGCATATTATAAAACCCTCGGTTTTTCCTAATCACAGTTACCATAAAATGTAACCTCATCTATTTTCATTTTCTTTTACAATATCTAATAAAACTCCTAGAGAAATACATTATTTTTATTAGATTTGTGAAAGCTCATGGTAAGTTTTAATTTTTAAAACAATATAATATTAATATACACCTAAAGTAATTAAGTCCTTATTAAGTACTTATGTCCTTCCTATGTCCATAACATTTAAGAAACTAGAACATAACACCTTTTGGTTTTTACTTTTTACAAAATGCTAAATAGTTAATTGAGTTTTTAAAAATTGCTAATATTTTATTTAAATATTTTATCAATATTTTATACTACCCTACCTAGTTATTAGTTATAACTTTATTAGGTATTCTAAAATATAAGAACATTGTTAATGTTAATGGTCATTGTGAAATAAAAACGGCCCTTTTGGTGAGGGGAAGGTTATGTACTTATGTGCGGAAACTGCAATAAATGTTTGAAATACTGATAAGTTTAAATCGTTGTTGTTTAAAAATAATAAAACTTAATAAGTTAAACGCATTTCGAGTGTCCATTTGTCCAACTTTCTCGTTCCAATATTTAAAAGTTTAAAACTAGTTGGTAGTTTGGTATTGACTATTGGTATTTGCCATTTGCTACTTGGTAGTAGTGTACTACTATCAGTACTATCAATGAAAACTATCGAGTAATTCATTCGATGGTTTTAAAAACTATTTATGAATAATAATATCTATTCAATCGAAAAATCACTTGGTAGTTTTCCAAACTATCGATGGACAATCGATAGTCAAAACTAGTCGGTTGCGCCCATCTCTAATATAAACCGCCCACCGGCGGCTTCGAGAGATCGCGAGCTACGCGAATCGAGTATTAAAAAAGGGCGAAAATCGATAGAAAACGGTCGAAATAGTGTGAATAATTAAATAGTATACATACGTAATATATACATTAATAAAAATATTTTCACTACAGAAATATAACATTTATATATAAATTATTTTCTCCAGAAGCTAGGTTTGTTGTGGAGATAAAGGTTCTTATAATATCTATTTAGTTCTCATACAATAAATAATTAAAACGATCATTTGGTGATTATTAACTTATCATACAATTATAGGTACCTTGGTTAGTACCAGAATATGGAACATGCATTATAATATATGAACTATTAAGTATTAACAATATAATAATAATTAATATGTACAGTTTGAATGAGTTTGATCTCATGGTCAAATTTAAAGTTAAAATATCAGAGAAAAAGTATTGAACCCAAAGGTAAAACTTAAAACAAATGTATTAAAATAAGTATTTGTGTTTAAATACTTTCTAAGTATTTGTATTTGTTCTTAAATACTTATTGAAAAAAGTACTTTAAATACTATTTAAATACTTTTTAAGTTGATGTATTTGTATCTCTATTTAAATACAAATGAAAAGTATCTTTTTACAAGATTGGTCGATGACTATCATCTGCATGGATCACTTGATAATTGTAGCGCCTTCACCTTTGAAAACTATATGAAGGAATTAAAGGAAATGCTTCGGAAACATGAAACACCATTGCAGCAAATTGTTGGACGATACGAAGAGCGTTGCAATAATGAAAAGTTATTGAACCCTCACAATTCACATTTAGAGTTAATGACCCCGATTGTTTTTTTCTTTCAAATAGTGAAGATATTGTTCGTATTACTAAAATTAGTTCAAAAACTGATAGACCAACCATAGTTGGTCAGAAATTTGAACATAAAATA